CCATTTATGACCTTCCCTGCTGGCTTCCCACAAGCAAAGTCAATTGGGAAGCAAGCAGGGAAGTTTGCAAGTCATTCCTGTAAGTCGCCCCCACCACTTTCCTGCACATCCTCTCACCCTCTGCAGCAATCACCTGCATGCCCCCTGCCTCCAGAGCACCCACCCCCCGCCTGGCCATGCTTGTGCTGGGCTGCAGCAGCCACTTGCATGCCCTCCTGCACTCTTGTGTAGGAGAACTGCATGGCTCCAGGGCTGCTTGCTGCACCGCAGCAGTGGGGCTGTAATGGTATGTGGGAATGACTTTGGGAGACAGGGCAACAAGACACAGCCAAGGGAACAGTTAGATAAAAGGCAGCTTAGCCTGCAGCAGGAATATGGGTGGGGCAAGCGGCTCAGAAGAGATCCTCCCTAGTTTTTGGGCCTGTAAAGGGGATGAGGGGAGAAAAGTACTTTCAGATTTGCAAGATTCTCTTAATGTAACCTTACAATAAAGTAGAATTAGCTCATTTGGTCATGTTTCCTGTTGGTCTGCCTTGTAAGGCTAATGGGCTTCTTGGTATGCCGCAGCTCTGGGGTTCTTGGCGTGCCAGCGGCTTGAGGCAGCACTCCTTGGTGGTGGTGAACCCGACAGAGGGGAGGAAGAACACAATGATTGTGCCAAGGAGGACAAAGAGGAAGGTCTGCTGGGGGCAGGGGCAGGGGGGTGGCGGTGGGGAAATACAGGGGCCTCTTCATGCTGTTCAGGGCAGCCAAAAGGGCAGAGATTGGAGGGGGGAGGTAGGCAGGTGGGGGGAATTGAAGGGGAGGCAGTCCCTTGCCTTGGAAGAACAGAGGCTCAGGGCTGGAAGGGACCAAGCTGGGAATGGCTTGGTTTGGAGTGGGTCCTCACCTAATGACCTGTGGGATTTGTTTAATGACAGTAACAGGGACTGCAGGAACTGCCGTCACTAAGTGGAGTGGTCACGTGATGTTTCTGTTAATGACTGCGGGGTGGTCATGTGATGTTTCTGTTAACTGCTTAGTGATGGAGTTGCTGGTCCCAATTAGGGTCATTAAGTGAGGACTACTGCACTGTCTTTCATGAAACAAAGCTAAGGCAATTAACTTGTTTTGGAGTAGGAATTAGAAATACAATTTATGGAGGTAAAAATCCAGCAGTTGAAATGTTATATAGCACTTCCTCTTTATTAGACTCAATCAAGTTGAGCTAATAAAGGTGACATATTATCTTAAGAGAGTTTTTTGTTTGGCTAGATAGAAATACATGCTTCACCCACATGTTCATTATTCTCAGAAGATCTGCTGAATGAAAATCTGAAAAATAAAGTCTGAATTTGTCCAAAGTTCTAAATTGTCATCAGCTGTCTAAAATCAGAAACTATTTCATATTACAAACTGGATTACTGTATTAAATACATTTAAGAACTGCCATTTTTGGAGGATGAGGAGGAGACAATATAGGAGGCAGAAAATATAAGCAACTCATTTTGACACCATTATTAGTGGACAGTTTTGTACAAAAAATAATAAATATGGCACTGAGTATCACATTTGGAGTAATTTATCAAATTATATTGTGCATAAACCTGTCAAAGTCATAGCTTAGTAGCTCTCAATCTTTAATATTTGTTTTTATTTAGTAAGGTAATGGGGAATGTATAGTTTTACTTGCTTTTAAAAACATCATTTTGCCTTTCTGATAGGATTCTGTGCTGGGAATAGATTTATTGCCTGTAGTTTATGAGCGTTGTGTAATCTTTAGCTGATTTCTGGTTGCTCAGAACCTCATTCTTGCACAATTGTTTTGAACATTGTTCTAATTATGGATTGTGCATACTCTGTCTTAGTACCAATAACTTATGTCAACTCAGCTTTGGTTGGCAGAGTCATACATGAGAGCTATGATCCAAAGCAATGGATGCATATACCCTTAAGTTTTTGATACTGCATCTAGAAATGGAAGTGTATTTTAAAAATGAATACTAGCTTGCAGTAGGTATTGTTGTTAGTGAATCATTCACACATGGAATTCCCAGTTATGCTTGTGTATAAGTGTGATCATATGTGTGGTTTTACTTAATTACAGGAAAAAAACTACATAGGCAGCCCAGATATTATAAAATACTAAACAACCCGTGACCCATTGGGTCATTGTTTCAGAGAAATTTCCTTACCTAAACAGAGAAACAGAATGACCAAGGGCAAAAAAGCAGTGGCAGTATGAGCAACTTATGACTTTCTGCTGGCTTCCTCATTGACTTTGCTTGTGAGAGGCTGGCATGGAGCATCAGAAATCTCCCTCCCTCCCTTTCTACATATAATATAGACTTCCACTGTTTGCCCTTCCCTCAGGAGAGCCCCGGTGAAGCCGCTGCCGCCGCCACCGCCGCCTCCTCCTGCAGAACTGCCTGCCACTTTGCTGGGGGGAGGTGGAACAAAGGAAGCCGCAGACTGTGAGGAAAACTTCACCCCCACTCCCCATTCTGGCGTGTCCCCAAGGGCCTTTTCCTCAAGAGAGGAAGAGGGCTCATCTATCGACCACTGGCACCCCCAGCCAGCCCTCCCTCGCCAGCAGGCATCCAAGTCGCTCTCTCCTACTTCCCTGAACGCCTACCACTGTTAAGAGATTTCAAATTTCTGTCTTGTTTCTGAAGGCAGAAATTGCCACTTGCTCCTCAGGCCTTGCCACCAGCCAATTGGGTGCAGGGGACATAGGGAGGCAGGAAAGAGTTTGGAGATATGCCCATGATGATCACAAGACCTGGGCTGACCATGGTGGCGTGGCAGTACAGCAATGCTGAAGTGGCCACAAATTTCCCAAATTTTAATCCCACAGGATTACAGGGTCCCAGATTTTGGACACATTCTGTAAATTAGCCCATTTGAGGTACCTTAGTTCAAAAATTGTTGCCCTGTGACATACCATTTTGCTAGTTGAAGGTTACAGACACGAGAGTGTTAGTAATACATAGAAGATTGTAATGTTGGTTTCCATCAAGAACGGCTAGAGTCACATTTTATTAAATGGGATACCTTCTCTGAATTCTGCTTTGTAACTTGAGAACGTTCAGAAAGAAGTTCTGGAGTATCTGGTATTTTCATTAAAGTGTACATCAAAATCAGGCCAAATACTTCCTTGTGTGTCCAATGAAATGGATTATAAAGCTATTAAAAGTAGATGGGAAAGGATTAAACTTCAACTTGCAACTTTTGGATCATGTTGGTGTCTTGCATGCTTCAAATTGCAGAGTTGTATAAAATCTTAAGTAGCAGAACTGCAGAAGAGCTAAAAGAGCTTAAATATTAAATATTAGGTATGATAGATGTCTGTAGCTTCAGAAAGTTATTTAAACAATTAACTATTGTGTTTTGTGCAGTGACCCAAATTAAAGTTAGGGTTTGCACATGCACATTTATAATTGGAATTGGCTTGTAGCCATTATTTTTTATAAGTAAGAGTTGTGGAGTCAGTAACGGCATAGTAGTTTTCAAAAACAAGTGATTGCCACATGTGTTAACTCACTTTTGTGTAGCCTAGAAAGTTTGCTTCACAGTTCTTTGATGCAATTGACAGCTTGTTATGACTTGTCTTGGATTTGTTTTATAGTTTGTATGTCTTTTACAACATTTAGCCTATTTTTCCTGTCATCCTTTTATATATGTGTATGTATCTATAGTCTATATCTGTATCTCAAAATAAGTGCCTTTATTGCAATTGCTCTTACTACTTTTGGTGTTTCTCAACTCAGGCTTCTATTGCTGCATAGAAATTACTCAAAAAGACAGTGTTGCCAACCGAGTTACACTCTTTCTTAACTAAGGGGTTGAATAGGGCTACCGGATTTGTGATGCAAAAATCTAGATAATTACTAAATACCAGAAAAGAGATAGAGACAATGTTTTGCTGACATCTGGTGGCTATCCAGATTTTTAGTCCTAGGTTGACACCATTGAAAGAAAGAATGGCATAAAATTTGCTTGGTAGTTGTACATTACAAGTGGAAAGGGCTAATTCCTTCTGCTGGTGGACTAGCTTTAGTCCTTGAAATCCGGAAGAAGAACTGATTTTCTCAAAATCTGCTTCAGAGGATTGGTGGACCATTTGGAGTGGATATGAAGAGAAGGGAGCAAAGAGGGCAGTCCTACTGCATAAGATTTTCATAGTAAAGCTAGCTTAATTGGCAAAGAGTTGATAAAATAATTATCACTATTAGTTTGCTTATGAAGGAAGGGGAAGAAGGTTCTGGTTTGTTACATGAGGTGAGTTTATATAATCCAAGGAGTTCTATTCTGTGTTTTACTGTTTACAATGTACATTTTTTCTGTTTTAAAATCTAAATAGCAAGGTAGGAAACTTAATTTTTGTCAACGGCCATATTGGCTTTTGGATACTCTTTGGAGGCATCATTGTAATAGTAGATGGACCTGAGTCAAAACCACGTAGATCCCCTTTTGAAGGTACATTTATCTTGTTTGGATTTGTGACATATTACAATCCTGACATAGCACTAAACTGAACTACAGTTCCTGCCACATGAAAAAGTTGCTCATTACTGGTCTATATTTTGAGAAAACCTAGGCATCATCTTTCAGAGATGCTTTTTCAGATACAATGCATAAGAGTAAGTGGTGGGGATAAATAATATTTGGTAGGAAGCAAATTATATACCACCACTGGCTTCAGAAACTGAAAGGATGATTTGAGGGGATGCTGTACTTCAGGAATAGATGAGACATGTGAATGGGTTTTTGAAGTTGACTTCAGAATAAGTATGTGAAATTTATAGCAAGTGTTTACAGACCTAGTGGGTTTGGGGGAGCTTCTAATAAAAACAATACACTGTTTTGAATGCTTCATCAAGATGACAAGGTTGTCACTGGGAGTGCTATTATTCCCAGGTCCTGTCTAAAAAAGATATAGCTGTTTCCTAATTTAGTCATCAGATCTATGACTGATACCCTTGTTTATCATGAACACTAACTATACCATTTTTTTATAGTGTGCATGACCAACTGTCCTACTCTGATTGTAATGGTTGGCCTCCCAGCAAGAGGGAAAACTTACATATCAAAAAAATTGACACGCTATTTAAACTGGATTGGAGTGCCTACAAAAGGTAAGTATCGTCACAACAGAACTTTAACCAAATTTAGGCAAGAATGGTTCCCATACATACAATATATTATGCAGCATGGCAAATAGAAATACAGTTTGGCTTCTAAGGGGGCCTAAATGTTTATAAATGTCATAAATTAGCAGAAGCACAAAAAGGGGGAAGTTAGAAATCAAATAGCCTTTTTTTCCCCTTTCCTTTTAGATGTTGTTGCCTATTTTGCTTTGCCTATTTTCTTCTTTTTCCCAATGTGCACAAACAATCATAATTAACAATACAGTGGAGACCTTAGTATTAAGTAATCACCTTAAGCAGAAACCTTATTTAATTGTACACCAAATACTTTGATGTAATTTGCAGCTGCTTCTTAAAGTTATATTCACCTTTGGATGTAAAAGCTAAATAATCTTATGCTTATTAAATCAGTATTTTAAATCATAGTTAATACTGATTAGTATCTTTTCTTTCTTTTTTCTGTCTTTAATGGTCTAAGTTATCTAAACATTAGAATGTTAATAATCTCTAGTCAACACTATATAAATACCACTGTATCAAAATAATATAATGTATCATATATGTTTTATAACAATATAATAAAGAAAAAAGGTGAGCACTGTAACAAGATTGTTATTATTACTGTTATTATTTTATTTTAAAACATCATTAGTGTGCACTATGCTTTATCAATTTTTAAAAAGTTGGTTCATTGTGCCGAACTGTTTCCAATTTAAAATTTTAAAGGAGTAAGGAAAAGAAAATGGAAGCAAATAGAAAAGGAAGCTAAGATGGTTTGTTTCCTGTTCTCTGTAGCTTAATTACAGATTTAAGTTGTGGTAAGGCATTGCAAGAGACAGATGAAAGTTTCATGGGAAAAACTGGTTCTGAGGAGGAACAGGAAAAGTAAAGCAGTATGCTACAGAGCTTCCTATAACAGTATTTTGAGGGATGGTTGTAAAGTGATCTGGTTTCAAGATTATAATATATAATGAATTTTCTGGATGGAAGAAATGCCCAGCACAGATAAGGCTGCACCTATAAGTTATAGGAGAAAATAAAAACTCAATTTTCCTCCTTGACTTTTCCGCACAGAGTTTAATGTTGGTCAGTACCGTCGAGATTTGGTAAAAACATACAAGTCCTTTGAATTCTTCTTGCCAGACAATAAAGAAGGCCTGAAAATCCGAAAGTAAGTTTGTCACGTGCCTCTTTCTGTTTGCATCACGCTGCTGTTTTGATCTAAAGGAATGTTGATGTTATGGAATTAGAGACAGCTTATTTCTTGTCAAGGCCGGGAGAGTAGGAAAGCTGTCTCGAGAGATGCATGGCTGATTCTTAGATCTTTCTTCCCATAATTGTTGTTTTAGTTTTGCCATACTGCCCATAATCTGTGATCTGGAGGAAGACACATAACTTGCTCCAGCATTTCTGAAGCACGCATTTTAAGTGGTTTTGTATGTGAGATTGAGTCCTGTTTTGTATATGGTCTTTTAAAAACACTAGAAACAACGAACTGCCCTGTGTATACGTTACGAACTCTTGTCAGGGGTGTAATCAGGGTGTTGTCTCTTCTTTTTAAGACAGTGTGCCTTAGCAGCACTAAACGATGTCCGGCGATATCTTTGTGAAGAAAACGGGCACGTGGCAGTAAGTGTTCTTTGGTGCATTGCTAAACAAATCAGTACTAGAACAGTGTTCCCCAGCCTTTAGAGGTGGTGGATATCAAATCCCATAAGCTGCTACATAAATACTCTGAGGTTGGAGGTTATGCCCAGTCTGGGTTCTAAACCCCAGTTTGATAGTTGGTTCTGTTCACTTGCTTTTTTGAAGCTTTATTACAAAAGGAAATCACAGCATAAGCTATGTAATACTAATTTCTTGCTAATTTCAGTAGATAATTTTTAAAATATTTTTTTTATCCTGCCTTTATTATATATATAAATAACTCAAGGCTGTGAACATACCTAATACTCCTTCCTCCTCCTATTTTTCCCACAACAACAACCCTGCGAGGTGAGTTGGACTGAGAGAGGGACTGGCCCAAAGTCACATAGCTGGCTTTCATGCCTAAGGCGGGACCAGAACTCACTGTCTCCCGGTTTCTAGCTTGGAGCCTTAACCACTAGACCAAACTGGCTCTTATTTTCATATCTGTATTTGCTGGCATCAATTTTTATAATGCAGAAGTAATCATTTTAAATTGTGTGTGTTGCTAAATGCTTCATAAGCCATATTGGAAAGTGAACATCTTAGAAGAAAATCAGCCCGTGAAATAGCTTGTGCAATATACATTATTTATTTCTAACGTGTTCCTTACTAAATTGGGTGGCGCGAAAATCAAATAAATAAACAGACAACATTAAGTATGGATTAGTACAATAGGTTTAGGAATTATAGTAGAAAGAAAGGTGAATGAAACAAGTAATTGGATAGGCCACTATTAATACATTCTGCTTTTGAAAGTCTCTGTGTTGTTTTCAAAGACTTTGTTCAAATGGCAATGGAATACATTTTTAACACATTTCAAAAAGTTATATTCTTCTCTTCATTGCCTTCTCCTCCTAAATCTCCTAGTATTGGAGGCATGCTTTGTGGTGGTAACTTAGATGAAGTGTGATTATCTTAAAATCAGAAAGACAGGATAACCAATCAATTATTCTTGATACTTCTACAGATAATTTTTTTTTAAGTTGATGAGGTTTTTGATATTTGCTTATTTCTATTTTTTAATCTTAAAGTTCCCTTTAATTTGTAAATGTTTGTTAGTTGGGTTTTTATATAGAACTTCTAAATAATACGATGTCCTATTTCTCTTCTGGGGTGTTATACGAGGGCAAGAATGAAGAAGTCTGCAGAAATATATGGGAAGGGCATGACATCAAATAAGCAGAATGTCCTGCATATTTTATTTGTAGTCTTTGTGTGTGATCTTCAAAGTTATTTTGATATGAGGCATTTCATGAACCTTGATAGCATATGAGTTAACAATTATGGATAATCTTTATTCTTCTGTATTTGTATCTTGCCTACTAAAATTATGTTATGTAGAATAGTAATATAGTTATATAGTAATATAGTTATATATTATAAGGACATAGTCATATTGAGTAGATTCATTCTGTAATTTTATTCATGATATCACTTCAAAATATTTGTGGCAGCCATTCATGTTCAGGAGTGCTGTCTGTTAGTGGGAATTAACATCTTAGTAAGTACACATTTAATTGCACTATTTGTTCTGCTTGCCATTAGTATGTTATGCACACATATGGAGAGAACATATCTTAGTTATCTGATATATGTACCTACGTACGGTGCAAAGCCATATAGTATTCCTTAAAAAAAATACCTATGATAAAGCCGTTCTTTTTGATTAATAATACATGAAATATTACCGAGAGATATTTATATTTTTCCTCTGATATACCATTGGATCCTGTATTGTCTCCTCTAGGTTTTTGATGCTACAAATACTACAAGGGAACGTAGAGACACCATATATAAGTTTGGTGAAGAAAATGGATTTAAGGTCAGTTAAGTAAAGATGCTAAAATTATTTAGTCCTGGGATGTGTGAAAGCTTTGTTCTCAATACTTGATTGACTGCAAATACATTGACTGTAACTACAGGTGAAAAGTATTGGCAGTAAGTAGTTTGTGAAAAAGACTTTCCCAGTAAATCATGCTCATTGTAGCTTATTCTGCAAGTTTAATTATGCGGTTAACAGTAACTATTAGGAATAGTTTCTGTTGCTAGTTAATATGAAAGAGGATTCTGTTGTGATTAGAACTGCTCTCTTTTAAGATTGCTGGCAGTTTTAGTATTGCATGTATCTTTAATTGCCTCGTTAATTGTAACTCCCCTGTATTTTTGTGGGTGGATGAGGAGGAGATATAGCCATGTTTCCTTGATTTACTCCTCTAGAAAGGTATAGCGTATGGAATTTCCTTACAAATAATTTCTATTACATGACAATTAAAATACACTTTATAGTATTTTAATAGTAGTCCAGGAGCAGAAGTACAGTATGCATGAATGCTGGGGGTCTGTACAAGATATTCAACACACCTCTTACTTCCTAAATAGTTCAAATTAAAAATTGGCAAATTTTGTGAGAGTTTGGTGGTCTTATATAAAAAATGCAAGAATTTGCTAGTTCTTTTATTGTCTGTTGGAGCCAAGTGTCTGTATATTGCCAAACATCATTTTTATGTTCTTTTGAAAATTTATTTCTGTGTTCTATGTAGCTGCTGCTTCCCAGCAAACCACACCAAGGGAGAACTAGTATGGTGGTGTAGCCCATTATCCTTCTGTGTATTTGCTATCAGAACAGAGATGATTGTGCATTTTGATCAGGGGTCATATCAGTAGTGGGAGGCATTCCTTTTCTGTATGGCATGAACTCTAAATCCAGAATGCCTAGATTTCAAGGGACTTCATTAAAGCCATACTGAGTTAGTTGAGAAATAGATAAAAGGAATGTTTAACACACTACAACTACCTTGTAATAATTACACAGGGAAAAAAGTAGGTGTGATTAGGTTTGAGCTATTACAAGTAGTTCTTATTTAGCAACTGCCTTGTTTAGTGACCATTTGCAGTTATGACAGTGATGAAAAAGTAACTTTGCAGCCAGTCCTTGCATTTATGACCTTTGCAGGTCTGTAAAGCAAAGGAAAGCTGAAATAAGATCATAAGCACAGTCGTGGTTTCACTTAGTGACTGCTTTGCTTAACGACCAAGTCAGTCTCAATTGTGGTCATTAAACCAGGACTACTTTTAGTGACATATGGTTTATTATATAGCACTGTATTCCGCTTTTGAGCATGTCTGTTGAAGCCTGCTTTGTAATTATTAAGAAAATGAAAAGTAATACTTAAGTTGGCTGGTGTGGGTCTTCCGGGCTGTGTGGCCATGGTCTTGAAGTTTTGTTTCCTAAC